AGTAGTTACCCCTTTCTGATACAGTTTCAGCAGCAGTAGTTACACCTTTCTGATACAGTTTCAGCAGCAGTAGTTACCCCTTTCTGATACAGTTTCAGCAGCGGTAGTTACCTCTTTCTGGTACAGTTTCAGCAGCAGTAGTTACCCCTTTCTAATACAGTTTCAGCTATGTTGCCTCTAAACATTTTAGGAAACATAAATCAAATGAATTTTCTTTTTCATATTGAGCAAAAACTTGCTCAGAAATATTTATTTATTTGGCGAGAGAAGGTAGTTTTACAACAGATTCAGGTTTGATAGGGGGGACTGGTCCCCTGGGTTAAAAAAGTAACTCATCACGAAAGCAGTATACATAAAAGTATCAAAAGACTTCGCACATCGATAAAATCAAACAATTCCTTTAAAACTTACTGAGTAGTTCTGTATGTAGCAAAGAAAATATTTTCTGTAAATCTAGTTTAAAAACTTTCACCCTAGACTTTAAACCACACACGCACGTATCGATATACCGTTCCTTTTTGTTTTTAACAAAACTTTGTGTTATGTGTTTGGTTGTTATTAAACACAAAGCTACACAATGGGCTATCTGTGTTGTGTCAACCACGGGTATCGAAACCAGGTCTTCAGCGTTATAAGCCTGCAGACTTACCACTGAGCCACTGGGGTGGGGTTAGTAAAACACTGAAAACAGGTAAAATAGAGCTTGATTGGTATTTTCAATGTAGACGGTACCTAATACAGGACGGGGGTTGAAAGGTCAATGACCAGGTAAGAAGATCCTGTTATAGTTAGGTACAGCCACTCCTAATGTTGAATTACTGACCAGAGGGAAGACAACCAGTTAGAAGCACCTACTACTCTAAATACATTGTCCTCTTTTAGCCGATCGACGGGATTGGCCATCGTTCTCATAATACATCCTCAGGTCTGCGCAGAGCTGGATAATTCAGAAAAAATAAATAAACGAAGTTTGAAGATCCTAACATATTTCATCCTCCAAGATGTCTTCCTATCAAATAGGGATTCTCACATTAAATACATTTTGAAAGTTACAAATTTATCTAAGATCCTGTTGAAGCTATCTTAAGTGTGCTATGAAAAGTTCTCGTATCTTTCTCAATATTTTTAATGTTTGTCAGTTTCTTTGTTGTTAAGCACAAAACTGGGTGTTTATGCTGTACCAACCACGGTAATCTAAAGTAGGCTTTCAGCATTGTAAGACTTCAGACTTACCGTTGAGATACGGGGTGGGAGTAGGGTCAATAACGATGATTGGTTTCAGTTACAATGAAGTTATACAACAACAACAACAACAAAAACTCGTAGTTTCTGCACTTAGCTAAATATGAGTTCAGATTAATTACAAGTAAAAGAATGCCCCCCCAGTAGCGCAGAGGTATATCTGCGGACTTACAACGCTAAAATCCGGGTTTAGAGACCCGTGGAGGGAAGACCAAAGATAGCTCACTTTGTTTAATTACAAAAACAAACAAACATATGAGTAGAAATAAAACTTGATTTATGACTTATTGAACAAATAAATGACTTATTTATATCAAATAAGTTTAATTCATAAGTTTCGAGTAGCTCAAAAAGCATCATAAGTATCATTTTGGAAGTAACTTTTATTGTCAGAGTAAAGATTTATTTTGATTCTTCGTACAGGGAAGAATAATAATTACGAACATACCAAGCAATATTAAAGTTTTATTTGACTTTCAGGTAGAGCTACACAAAAGTCATCTATCTTCTCACATCCATCCCTAAACTAGAGAAAGCCTCATCACCAGCTGTTGGATTACTCTTGTCTCATTGAATAATGGTCACAGTTGGCCCCTAAGGGCGGAGAAAGTTTTCTTAGCAACGGGACGCGAGCCAGAAACCCCGAGATTTTATTATAAGTTTCAATGTTATCATAGAATCGGTAGACTCTATATGTAAGGATGACCAAGGTACTCAATAGACATAATACAAATATGTATGCTATAAATTAACAACGACAGAGAGTTTTACTTTAAGAAATGTTTACCACTCACTTTCATTTGATTCTCTACCCGACAAGCCTAAAAACAAGGAAAGAAACCGTCGCTAAGATACCAAACTAGAAAGTGACCAACCCATCAAATTGTTCATATTTCTTCTTGTTGCTTCAGTCGACCTAACTCTACAACTACTTTATCACTAACGTCAGTTTAAACCTAAATCCACTCTACGTGTTTCTGAGCAGTGCACAAAGTCATCGCTTAGTCGTAATATTCAGTAGTGATTAAACAAAATCATAATTCTAATGTAAACGATATTATCATTACCCCTAGAAGTTAGCTTTTTTACAGAAGTTTGGTGTTCCTTTAAAAAGCTTAAGTACAGGGTGATACAGGAATTATCAGTCAATAATAGATGAGCATTAGATGACTGTAACATGTAGAATACTCAGTGTTTGGATACTATACAACTGATGTCTTTAGGGAGCCAACCCCTATATTATGTATGAAGTGACGGAATAAAAAACAAATCAATACACATAATATTAAATTTTATTACACACATTCATAGAATACATTAATTTCCAGTCAGGGGAAAAAATCACAAAATAAGTAATAAAAAACATTTTGTAAATGTAAAATGATGTAGGGATGGCAGTGCCAAGAAGAATGCAAACAAGAATATAGGGATGATACAGCTATACATATGTCATCCATACATGATTTTCAATATTATAATTTAATGTTATACTGTAAAATGCATACTTGACTTTAATATTACTGCAGTTGGAAGTTATATATATTCCTGTTGGTATACAGTTTGTTTATCATAATATCACTGTCATGTCAGGGTAAACATCAATGTTGTGTACCTAAGAACCTAGGACTTACGTACAAGGAAAACTAAGTTGAGTCAAACATGTCTTGATTGTTACAAACTTTCGTTACGAGGTCGGTCGAATTGACCGATCTCGTAACCATTCTGTACTCGTGCATTTTACAGTGTAACATTAAATTCTAATATTGAGAGTCATCTAGGGATGATCAAGTATAGCTGTATCATCCCTATATTCTTGTTTACATTCTTTTTGGCACTGCCAGTTCTACATAATTTTACATTTACAAAATGTTTTTATTTACTTCTAAGCTCAGTAAAGTTGTATCAACAAACTGAAACGACTTTGTTAGCAGCGGAAAGAAAGTACTGGCATTCAGAAATATCTAACACACTGTTAGCTAAACCGATACATCTCAAGTGCTTTATTCAAAATTTTAGGAAAACACGTAGGTTCAAAAAATCAGTTAAAATACGAAATACGAGCGAACGTTTTCCGATGATGGACTTTCCTTCATCAGGGACAAACTAGGAATATTGCACTTGATAAGGAAAGGTCCAAAGGTTTCATAATGTTGTCTTTAAATGCCGTTACGACGCGCGACAAACATCTGTTTTTTAACTTCTGTCGATAAAATGCTTCTTCAATACCGATACAAGTTATTTATAAAACATTAAAGGTCGTGTTGAAGTTATCTGAACGTCTGTTTAAATCTCACAACTAATTTTCCTCCAAGAAAAGTCGTCGAATCGCTTATATTCAAGTATTGTTTACATACCTCATAACATAATGCTTATAACGATCGGCTCTGAAATTTGCCTTAAACACTAATTATGAGGAACGTGTATGTTTTTTAAGTGATGTAACGGCTTGAACTCCTTAAAATTTCTCTATGGATATTAATTCAAAATGGTATGCTTAAATCTCAAGTCAAACAGATCCGGAGATAGAACAACAGACAAGTTTATGTAAGCAAACTTTAGTACCGTCAATTCAAACACATAAACAAACTTTAGTACCGTCAATTCAAACACATAAACAAACTTTAGTACCGTCAATTCAAACACATAAACAAACTTTAGTACCGTCAATTCAAACACATAAACAAACTTTAGTACCGTCAATTCAAACACATAAACAAACTTTAATACCGTCAATTCAAACACATAAACAAACTTTAGTGCCGTCAATTCAAACACATAAACAAACTTTAATACCGTCAATTCAAACACATAAACAAACTTTAATACCGTCAATTCAAACATATAAACAAACTTTAATACCGTCAATTCAAACACATAAACAAACTTTAGTACCGTCAATTCAAACATATAAGTAAGACTTTGAAAGTATTTCAGCTTCGATAGAACAACAATAAAAATATTAATTTCCCTGTCTATTACGACCTATGCCCGGCATAGCTAGGTGGTTAGGGCGCTCGGCTCCCCGCCCCCCCCCCCAAACGTGCTCGCCCCTTTCAGCCGTGGGGGCGTGATAAAGTTGCGGTCAATCCCACTATTCGTTGGTAAAAGAGTAGTTCAACAGTTGGCGGTGTGTGGTGATGAATAGCTGCCTTTTCCTCTAGTCTTACACTGCTAAATTAGAGACGGCTAGCGCAGATAGCCCTCGTGTAGTTTTTCGTGAAATTCAAAACAAAACAAACTATTACGACCTCAAACTAATGTAGGATTGAATCACCTTTGATCATCATAACAAACTGACTGACCTATGCATGGTATAGAGTTCACAAGATACTCGATTTTTTCCATAATGGTCTATTCGTCTTGGCGTATGATGTTTAATTGTTTATCAGATGTCGGTAGAGGATTACTAACTCATCCATAAGATGCTCGATCGGACTGATATTCTGTGATTGTGCTGGATAAATATCGTATCTTCCGTGTTCTAATCTTTATCTAGAACTTTGGAAACAAAAATTGGAAGCAACGTTCAACTATGTACTCCCAAATTTAGTTATCTTTCTAAGATATTAAAAAATACCAACCCTGTTCCTGTTACGAACAATTTACCTACACAATTATATTTTCTCCAGCAGCTCGCAACTGTCAGAACAACAAAAGTATCTCATGTGTTTTCCCATTTTTTAAAATTATATTCTCTATCTACAAAAGGTAGAACGACTTTAGAGGCCAAATCAAACGCTTTCAGTGAAAGATAAATATTTAACTTTGAAAAGAAAAACATATGTTATTATTTCGTTTGCAATCAAGCGAGTCTCGTACCCAGGCTGATATTTCTCGACTTATGCTTCCTGGTTTGTACTATTAGCTTTGTTGATGTGGAAATAGATCTCGGAAAGTCTCATGCTTCAATAACAACTCATTTTGTTCAACCTCTTCGCTGTACGAATAAAATCAGTACCCAAATCAGCATAAACTTACAAGTTAAACAAAGAAAACAAGTAAAACATGGATGTCAAACACACATGTAAAGTAGAGGAGCACTCAGTAGAACACATGTTTCCGACACGAAGCGTTGATCATATTCGGCTCTCCAAAAAAATAAGAAAATGCATCCGTATGTCCGCCGTTATCAACGGATACGGACTATTTATGGCAGAACAATGAGGAACAATATTCTACATAAGTCCACCATGTTTCATTAACATCCGATCATGTTTGACTGAGTGATAGAGCCAAGATTTTTTTAGAATTTTCGTAACCTTGTTGTGACCTTGGACTTTCAAAAACTAATCACTTCTAAGTTGGGTAATAGTCCAAATGTTTATCAACATTCGTTCAAATTCATTTAGCAGTTTTCGAGAAACCTTGCTAACAAACACATACACAGGGTGAAAAAAATTACCTCTATCACCTTTGGTGGTGGTGAGTAATAACAGCTATTCACCCTCATCAGGAAATCCAAAGGGGTTGTAGTGAAACGTAAACTTAGGCCTACATTTGAACACCATTACCCAGGTATTATATTTACATGTAATTAGCCGAATCTGTTGGTATTTATTTGTTAAAGTTGTTTTTGGTGTATGTAGATTGTTCAAAATGTAACAGTATCAGCACTTTACAAATAAGCTGTTATTAATATAGTGTTTATATGGCTTCAAACTAAACATATTGTTCGTGATATTGAGGTCTCAAATATTCCCATTTTAAGTATCAACTACAAAAAAAAAGGAACCTAATCACTCTACCTCGTCCAATAACAGTTTACTTATTTCGTATAAATTGGAAAGTCTTACCAGGATGATTCGTCTTCTCTCAGGCTGGCTGCCGCTCCGGAACGAGTGCCTTGTCCAGGTACGATTTTAACAATCAAGTCCTCATAATCGACAGGTGGCACTGAGATGGAACGGAGCCTTTCCAAAAATGACTTGAAGGCCAGTCTGAAAGAATGTTGGCTATCGTGGAGGCCTACAAGTGGTCAATTCTAGATGGTCATTTGATCGGGACAGACGTCCAGATGCCTTTTTTGAAGAACTAAAGATAGTGGAGCACAGTCGTCTGACTTAACACTAAAATCAATATGGACTCAGGGTACCGTATATCTCAACCATGACTTAATTCCTGTCAATATATACATATAGCAATATTTACAGACTTAAGGGTATATCTCAAATATGCCTTAATTCCTGTCAATGTATATATAGCAATATTTACAGACTTAAGGGTATATTTCAACCATGACTTAATTCCTGTCAATATATATATAGCAATATTTACAGACTTAAGGGTATATCTCAAACCATGCCTTAATTCCTGTCAATGTATATATAGCAATATTTACAGACTTAAGGGTATATCTCAACCATGCCTTAATTCCTGTCAATGTATATATAGCAATATTTAGTAGTACTAAACAACTTACAGTACAAATAAAGTAGTACTAAACAACTTACAGTACAAATAAAGTAGTACTAAACAA